GAGAAGGAAGAAAAAGAGACGAAAAGGCGGAGGAAGAAGAAGAGAAAAAAGACGGAAGAAACGAACAGAGAGAAGAAGAAAAAGAGAAAGTAGAGGAAGCAGAGGAAGAATAAAGACAGATGATATAGTGTCTGACCCGGCCACCGCCCAGGAGCAGCCGAGGACTGAAAGAATGACATGGAGACGGAAGAAAGGCAAGAGAAGAGACAGGGAACTTACGAGTTTTCTGACGTTGGAACAGCAAGGTGTGTGAGAATTGACGAGTCTATGCCTTCGGGGAGAGTTATGCCCGAAACGAACTATAAGGAAAAACAACAGTAACCACATATTGTAGGTAGCGGCAGCCGGGACATCGCTCCAAATACACTAATTCCGACAAACATAAGTGATATATTGCACCACCGGCCTCTTTCAAGCATCAGATACATAAAGCTGTTAAGATCTTAGTGAGGTCATGAGGTCTTCTAGCATGACATAAGGATTGAAAAAGAGGGATTTCTGGCTAACAAGTCTGAGAGGGTAGAAATCTCGGAAAAATGGTGCTTGTCTGTCAACCTAACTGCGGTAGGTGGCTGCGAGAAGTATGATACAACATTTAAAATGAGCTCGGAACATCAACGGTCTGGCGCGGTGAGTTGAGGCCTGGCCTAACAACTAGCGTATAAGCTGGCACCCAGTTCGATAACTGAGTAAACTTAAGTACTGCACACTGCCACATGAGCGGGAAATCCATCTAAAGGCCTAAGTGGGGACAATCTATACAATCTCTGCAGTCACCAGTCATTACTCATGTACAGCTTACACAGCAACTCGCGTGCTCGAAACTCGCACCATTGAATCAAATGACAAAAATAGAATTGGCCTGCTTTGGAGAGAACTGCGCCTTATTTTTCATGCAGAGACGAAATGACGAAACCTTAATATAAAGCAAATTTTTGACAATTTCGGTTAGAATTTCATGAAATCGGTCTCTGGCTGTATGTGGCGACTGCCTTCTTGGCTTTGTTGTTAAAATACTCGGCCTCTGCAGGCTGCATGAACCAGTATTTTTCGCCACCTCCACTATTTTAAGTCGTTCATAATAGTCGTTTTATGCTAGTTTTCTTTTGCTGCATTTGGCCCCTACTGGGATGTGCTATGGTCAATAATGTGGCGTTGGTGCACGCCAGTGAATCGGAAAGGAAGGACTCTAGCCTGCCGGTCAGAACTGTGTCAAAAAGGTGATGGACTGGATTGTTAGCAGACCACTCAAGCAGCACAGTAGGTCAGGGTTAGTCTATAAAGGGGCGTAGACACGCTGACAAGATTTTGGCGCCAAGGGCATGCAGCAGGCGACCAAAGTGGACCCCAAACGAAACCAAAATGGAGATAGTAGTTTGGGGATGTGGGCTCACAGCTATCTGCTCAGCCATGAGACAATGCAACTGCCTAGTTGGTTGGTTGTTATCTTGGGCCGACCTTTCCACAAAACTGACCACTTAAATATGGAAAGTAGTGCCGGATCTTACGGGCGCGGGTAGATTTCCGTCATGAGCCGAAAGCATGAACTAAGAGCTAAGCTTCCACATGAAAAACCTTTTACCAGGACATGAGTTCAAAAAATGTCGGTCACATGACTTTTTGGTTATCGAATTGCCGACTGTGTCTCCAAGGTGCAGTCGTCAGAAGAGCAACCGGATCACCGTAGCCTCCTAACTAGTTGACTGAGGTGGCTAGGTCATGTGCTGCATCGAGCTGAACACGAGATCGTTCAAAGTGTCGCGTCAGCCGAAGCCGTCCACAACTGGCGATGACCTTCAGGGTGATCGTGCTTACGCCTGATTACGAACGCATTCTGGGTCATATGACCAACGCAGAGCGCCAATTGATCCGCCTCACCGTCCAAGTTCGCTATGAATCAGCAACTGTGCGAGACAATCATCCGCAATGCGGTTGTCCCGCGAGAGGGAGCAAAAAAGTGAGCAACTGTGAATGTCGTTACAAAGGAATAAGAATTCAGGTGCGCAGGCAATTTGACGCGGATACACAAAGGGGGGAGTTATCGTCCGAATTGACCTATTTCAACCACTCTTCAAAAAGGTACACAGTATCATTGGAAGATTGGCAGCAGGAGCAAAGTTCGAATCAATAACTCTGTAGCCGAGTGAATCTTACTTCGCAGGGTTGCACATTTAAAACCAATAGGAAGTGAAAAAAGATGGAAGCCACTGTAGAAAATAAGTGGTGCTTACTGAGCCCTGGTGGTCGAATTTTGCCAAGGCTCCTCCACACAGAGATATGAATCCTTGGCGCAAGGGCAGAAGGGGGGTGATGAGACCGGAGGTATTTGATTGGCTGCGGGATAAAAACAGGTAATGAGACAAACAAAATGCCAAGCATTCACATAACCCTATATATTCTGGAAATATACAGTGATTGCGCCTTCGGCCAAGATAACAGTTAGGGAATAATGACCAAAAATGCAGACTTTGATCCAGAAATAACAGTTGATTTCATAAAAAGTAGGTTAGAAAGTGGCAGTTAATGAAGAGGGTATAAGTCCGGGACAGCTTGCGGTATGACACCTGGAAGATGACTGTGAATCTATCGTCTACCTAATAAGATACTTTCGTCATCTTACTGATTGGACAAATTACGTATAAGGCGTGCCAAAACGTTCTTAAGCTTATTTAACTGCCAACCTAAATTCAACCAGAAATTTCTGCCGACGAGATCACATTGAAGGCCATTAACTAAAGGATAACCTACCTAGGAACTCCAGGTTCTTGTTTTTGCACAGTTGGAGTAGACGACATCGTGACGCTGAGTAAGAAGCCAGATCCAGTGCCAACAAGAACGGTGGGGGAAGACTCTTCAACGGCCAACAACCCAGCAACCGCAAGGCTGAATCCTGCGACAGGTAGGCCGATGCTGAAAAAGGAAGGTAGAACAAAGGCGTAAACAACAGACAGATTCAAACAGGATTAGACGCACCACGATCTAGTGGCTGACTCAACTGACACTATCTGGCATCTTGGTACTACTGCTCTGGTTTTGTCATTTGTTAGAACTTCTTGGGCCAAAGGTACATCTATGGACACTGCGGAAAGCGTGAAAATTGCTCTCTCAAGAAATGGTTAGAAAACTTATCTTAAGCGTGCCATGGGGCACGGCTGAGGTTATCGCAATACGTGCTTTACCCAGAAACAGTCGATTGATGCATTCTTTCCTATTCTGTAGCACGAGGAGGGCTCACCCGCACAGGACTAATTAATTAATACTCAAACACACCTGATGAAGGTATATGAAGACAGCCAACTAAAATTTAACCCAGATATTGTCCGGGAGGAAACTTGAAGTAGGTTCTGAGAGCAGGAGTGTATAGTGTCAAACAGTGGGGCAAATGGCTTATGAAGACTTATCACAGAAAAGATAAGCAAAAAGGCACATCTGAGGTGCGGTAGGAAAGTCACCATTCGGGATAGTATAGGCACAAGCCAGAAGCGTGTGTAAGTTAGAAAAGGCGAGGGAGGAGGCATTACAAACTGCTATCGGATAATAAGACTAGATGGCGTAGGTCAACATTGTTTGAATATGGAGAGCAAATGACGGAGGGCAGGTTTAATCAGCGTCTTGAAGCAAAATTACATAGATGGAAGCAGTCAAAATGTGAGAACCTAGCAGGAGCGCGGTGCAGGAAGCAAGGCAAACCGGAGAACTTACGTCTTCAAGGCGAAATGTTCTTTTAAATCACTAAGCCAGAGCGTTTTTGAGACCGGAACAGACTTCAGACCTCTTAAGTTCATGGCCAGACTGTAAAGTCTGTTGCCACAGAGAACGAGGAGCAGTGACTTGGCAGATTCATTGTTGGGGGAGAACTGAGTCAGCAAGTCCATGGCAGAGATTGGTGAGGGTGGCACGTCATCAGCGTCAGCATCATAGAGAAGCATCTTCAGACGCGCTGTCCAGACAGTCTCGCCACAAATTTCCTCCTCCGTCCAGACGATGATGGAACCATCGAGACTTGAGGATAACATGTACCTTTCCCTGTCAATGAGTCTGAGCACTGTGGTAACGGCACGACTGTGAGTGATCGGCTGCTCGGAATTACCTGTGTGGGCAAGTAAGGAGAAGCAAAACATAATTCAAATGGCCAATAAAAGTGAAAGAGCAGCAATTGATTGGGAGGGTGAGTTGAAAAAGCCAATTAGTCAAGAGGCAACATTCTCATTAACCAACCCCTCGCTAACCCTAGGACACACACATACATATTGTACTACTCGTGCTTAGTAAGTAGGCAAGTTTTATTACTATTCAGAACAACTAACAGCTGCTTGCTTTTCGCCTGCGAGGATGTAATTGACGTGTTTTTTTTAAATTTGTCTTTGTATTTATACATTTTCTAGCCATCTGTTGACCAATGGGAAGCTCAAAGGCGTTCGTCCACCTTTAATTTTTATAAACCGATACTGACAGTGATAGTACAAGTTGAGATTAAATATAAACTTGGGGACTGAGAGCTGGATTGAAACTGCAGAATGGAGCAGACAGTCAGTCATTCATCTAATTGAGAAAGGTGGAACTCATTCCCTATATGTTGTGAAAATTTCCTAACTGTAGTTAGTCCCGAATCGAGTAACTTATGCTTCAATCTTAGGATTTCTAGGAGCCGAAAAGGGTCCAGAGAAGCCTACTCTAGTTTTCCTTCTTTGTTGATATAACGCTTTTAAGTAACCGCATCAGTCTGCATAAGCTATTTAAGTACATGTTCGTTAATATTCCGGCATTCAAATACAACACTCGGAGCTTGAATAAAACACTTTTGTGCTCACAGGAGGAGCTGTCTTTAGACCCAAGTCTCCAGAGGCGAACATCGCCGGAGTCTTCAGAGGTGCTGCCAGCAGCAGACGCCAGGCAGAGTCCATCAGCGCCCTGGAAGATGGGTGCAAGTTGAACGCCAGCCGCGGTGGCATTGGGATGTCCCAGCAGGCAGTCAGCAGCCCATGCAGAGAACGGTGATAACATTCTGACGGACATACTGCCGTCGGCACCAATGATGCCCACTGAAAGTTCCAATTTCTCGCGTGCACGCAGGACGGCTCCGTTGCACGCCTCAACCACCGTTGGAGACCAACTGGAAGCCGACTTCTTCTCGGTTGGTTCATCGACTTCCATCGGCTGGCCCACCTCTTCTGCCTCATCGGTAGAATTTACAGTACCGTTTTGGGAACCCTTGTCCTCATCTCCCCTGGCTTCACTATTAAGCATGTCCAGCCCGAGGTCTGAACTAGATTCTGACGGAGACGCGGGACGCACAACGCTCTCGTGGTCTGAGAAGAGAAAGAAGGCATAGAAGCAAGGTTACAAGACGACCAAAAGAGCTTCTTAAGAATAGGCAAAAGCCAGGCTATCGTATGGGCTTTTGAGTCATATCAGGCCCAAAGCATATAGTAAACGACATGACCCATTCGAGTAAAAAAGAAAAGGATAAATAAGCCAATTAAGA